GGCCTCGCACCAAAATATATTAGTGACATGTTAGTCCCATATGAACCAGCCCGGACTCTGAGGAGCACAGGGACTGGACTCCTGTTAGTGCCCAGAGTCAGAACTAAACATGGGGAGGCTGCTTTTCAGATTCATGCTGCTAAAATCTGGAACAATCTTCCTGAAGATGTGAAACAGGCCTCCTCAATGACAATGTTTAAAACCAGGTTAAAAACAGTTCTGTTTAGCTGTGCATACAACTGAGGGATTTTAACTTTTAATGTTCTGTGATTATTTATGATTTTAATGCTATTTTGTTCAGCACTTTCAGTTGTCTTGTGTATGAATTGTGCTATACAAATAAACTTGCCTTGCCTTATACTTCTGAAGTTGAATTACAGAAATAAATGAACTTTTGAACAGTATACTAATTCTCTGTTTACATCTTTGTACAATGTTTAATCACAGCCTACATGGTGGCAGGACACTATTGTAATCACTAACCACATAAAGGCGGTGATGGGTGAATCTTGCCCAAAGACACAAAAGAAGAATGTAGCTCCTACATTCCCTGTGGTCTCCCATCCAGATACTGCCTGCTCTTACCACTTTCACACACGGTACTTTCTGTAATGATGTGAACTGCTGTAATAATAGCCTCACAAACACCTCATGCATAATGTAGTAGACACAACAGTAGCTGCTTTTGTTCTCAAACTCATTCCCCAAATAAAAAACAGGACAAATGCCTTTGTTGTGGCAAAAAAGATAAAATATAACTAATAGTTGAAACTGCTTGTTTCATTAGAGAATCTTTTGTTGTATTACTTCAAGAGCAGTTGCAATTTATTTCTCATTCCAAGTGAGACATTTTTCTCTTTTGAAACAAAACAATTTTTATTATCCAATAGGAAAATGTTGTTTTAAATGTACTCAAAGTAAGATTTTGCATTCCTATTCAAAACTTTTTGCCGTATAGGCAGTGATCAAAACCAGCTTGCAATTCTAAATAAGTAATGGAGTAATCTATTTTAATATATAGTACATTTTACAAACCAAGGTCAGACAAAGCGCTTGTTTTTGGATATTTTTCCCTCCACACCACACAGTGATGACAGAAGTGAGACGCCAAACACTGCCCATCACCATCCGTTCACTCACTCATTGCATTCAGACCTTTGTACATGTTTTCAGTGGTAGGGGGAACCGAAGCACCCGGAGGAAACCGCAGACACGGGGAGAGCACCATATGTTTGGAGCTGGAATTGAAACCAGGACCTTCTTGCTGCTCACCACCTTTCGCTGCATGGTGCCCAAAATACCCATTCAATCTGTGATGTGTCTTTGGTATCATTTGTACGATCACATTAGTACAGTTCTCAGGTCTCTGCGCTGGCTTCCTGTGGCGCAGAGAATAGACTTTAAAAGGAGCAGAAGGACAGGCCTCCTGCTGGTCCCTGAGTCAGAACGAAACATGGGGAGGCTGCATATCAGATTCAAGCTGCTAGAATCTGGAACAGTCTTACTGAAGATGTGAGACAAGCTTCTTCTCTGGGAATGTTCAAAACAGCTCTGTTTAGCTGTGCATACAACTGAGAGATTTTTTTTTCACTATTTTGAATGCACCGTGATTGTTTATTAATGCCTTGTGTGACTGTCTCCATCTTGTTATGTTCGGCACTTGTGTTGCCTTGTGTATGAATTGTGCTATACAAATAAACTTGCCTTGCCTTTTGAAGAACCAACCATGGCTGATTTAATCTGAAATATACTTGAAATAACATCTCGTGTGATTTAGTTCAAGGTTCTATAACCAGTAAGAGTGGCATTTTGCTTCTGTACCCCAGGTCATGACACATTTGAAGTTACACGTTGAGGCCTCCAAACTCCCATGAGGCACACTTAGTTGTAAAACAAGTGTTAGGGGACAAAGAGCTTTGTAAACGCTATAACAGGGTCAGACGGGCTTCAGTTTCTCTGTAAAAGGAGGAAGGTGTGTTGGGGGCTTTTGTGCAGGTGCAGATCAGTTTATGCCAGCTACGGAAAGAGGACGTGCCAGAGTAAAGGCGACACAGCGAAGGAGGATTCATGTATGTAGTCATTTCAATCACATCCTACTAGAGTCAAGTTACCTGCCGCCATCTGGAAACCGAGCCATGATACAAACAGCCTGCGCATATATGTTAACAGAGCTTTTTTCTGGTGGGAGTGGATGGACAGTAAAATGGTTTATTACTCCCGGTAACTAAACTGCGGACACTCGTCTCCATTACTGTTGGCCGTTCTCCAAAGTTGTGACAGAAAATACACTGGGGCAAAACAGTATTTAGTCGGCCAACATTTGTACAAGATGGGTGTAATTTTGTATCATTTGTACACGTCAACTATAAGAGACATAATGAGAAAATTAAACAAAAACCCAGAAAATCTCATAAAAAATAAATTAAAAAAGCTATATGCATGTTATGTATTTAGTCAAAAACAAAAGTCCATCTCACTTTGCTTTATACCCTTTGGCAAAAACCGTTCAAATGTGTCTTTGCAAGGTTTTGAGACAACGTTGCTGGTATTTTGGCCCATTCCTCTAAGAAAATCTCTTCCAAAATACCAGCAACAGTGAGTGAATACCCGTTGAGCACGCACAGAGAATGTTTGACCTGTTATTGACCAAATACTTTTTGCCACCATAATTTGCTGATCTTTTTTTCCATTATGTCTTTTATAAATGAGATGCCTGTAATTTTCAACAAAGATATACCTCATCTTTTTAAGTGGGAAGACTTGCACAATTGGTGGCTGACTGCACATCAGAGGATTTTTCCACATGACGTGTAGTGGTCTCAAGATAAAAGGTTCAAGTGGCATGAGTTGGTTTTATATTGTGTGTTGTGCAGATGTTCACACTCGCAGCCTTGCTTGTTAAAATTTCCGCCTAATTACATCACTCAAGCAGAAATGATACACAACCACAGCCAGTTTTTCAGTTCATTCTTTTAGTCAGGTTTTTCCAAGCAACACAGAACTGTCTACAAATCAATGGCAAAATTGTACATTCCCGTTCTGTACCATCCCTCAGGAAATGCAGGAGATAAATGAGTCAAACATGAGCAGCACACCTCTGCGTACCTTCTAAGTCTATGAATGCATTGAATGAAATCATACAGCCACTTGCACCAATGTTGCCTGAGCTGGTTGAGAACACATTTATAACCAAAAGGGCTTCATAGCGAAAGCATTTTAAAAAGGTTATAAATAAATCTAAAAATATCATGTGCTTGTCTGCAAAACTATTGAACGTTCACCATTTTGTCTGTTTAAGTAAGAGCACCAAATGTTCTGCACAGACAAAAGGTTTCACAATACCCCCCAGTCATGTGACCCGAGAGGTTCCTCAATCTAACACAGGAGCACAACGTGGAGCTAGTGAGTAGTATTTTTAGTTTGCACTGTGGCCTTTTCTTTCGATTCATGCTTTTCTGTTGAATCCTCAAAGTTTTACAGAAAGTCAAGGTTAAAGCATTCGCAAGTCTTCACGAGGACCTTTATCAACACGCCACATATAGCAGACTGCGAGATATGTCACGCTCTCTCCCCTCAGCTCCAGAAGATACACAACACAGGAACAAAAAGATTACATATGAAAACATAACAAAGCAAAACACTTGAGCTGAAGGATTCTTCTTGAGGTTGCAATTGAATTGAACAAATTACTTATGACTTCTTTCTTCTTCATGTGATTTGGCACATCAATGATAAAGTACTTTACACAAACATATTAGCCTGAACTCTTCTGATAAAGGATCCAACCTGTACACAAGTCTATGGACAAACACATTTAAAATACAATCTGTACAGAAAAATAAACACAAAAATAAACTTGATTTTCTGCTAATACATCCCTATTAGTGCTAGCTGCTTAGACGGGGCAGAGAACATTAGGGACAAACAGGCACTTAAGTGCTGAAGCATAGAGCAGATAAAGAGCCAGTGACAGGATAAGTGACAAGAAACACTTTCACGTCAGTTCAACAAATTCATTAAAATGCCATAAAAATCAAAATACCTTGAAACAAAAGCTCAGAGAAAATTGTAGTGATTATTTTCCCCTGAACTTTGAGAAGAGCCCTTTCTTGTGCTCTGATAGTGTGCTTGGCGCTTAAACATGCTGCCCTCAACAGAGCTAGCAATAACATGGCTGTCCTGGGCTGTATATAAGCTACAGCTTGTAGAGCATCCTGAGACCAAGAGGATTAAGAGAGACACTAGTGTCTGCAGAGAACAGCGCTAATGGGATTGCTTGGCTCTATATCAGGGGTCTCACCAGAGCCACTGTCAGCAACACAGTGAATGCTGCCGTGAAGCTAAGATGCTAATCACACATACGCTAGTTTGTGTTAGCCCAATTACAAGCTTCTCCTTCAAGTGCCTTTTGTTTTAAAATATACTGTATGGCTCCTTTGCATTTTGAGTAAGAACTAAATGGGAAGTAAAAAAGTAGAAAATGTTAGGCCTACAAACATAAGCTCAGCTGCATCGCTAAATCATAGGACAGAAGTTGATCGAACAATATGCCACTTAGAAAAGCTGGAGTTATCTACAGGACACCAGCATCAGAATAGTTTGGCTACAACCTGAACATTAGGCACTTTTTGAGCTGATATATGCATCTGTATATATATATATATTTCTGTATATTTTACAAACTAAATTATTCCACCATTGTAATTTGTACATCTTTTTGTAACACACTGATCTCTATATCTTTTGTACCATTTTGTGATTGGCTTTCACTGACTGAATGAGAGCAGCAATACATGTGTTTCAATGTCTTTTGGCACGCACACACACACGCACGCACACACACACGGACACACACGCACATGTTGGTTTTCACAAGCAACAAGGAAAAATCCATCAGTCTGTGTCAAAGTGCTAGCGGGGCATGTTCTTTCACAGCTGCTTGTGATTGGACGTCGGACAGGAACAGGCGGGGCTTGAGGGGCAAGGTTGGCCATGTGACATCAGCACTCTGGGGAGAAAAGAAAAGATTTGGTTAGAATCAGTAAACCATAACTTTGATCTACACAAAAAGTCAATATTATGGCATGTTTATGAACTATTGCCAGCTTATCACGTAACAATTACAGATCACGTAACATACTATCAGAACGAGCTTATCGTCTTGGGAACACTGTGACCATTTATGTATAACAGAAATATATAATATAAATAAACATGCTGAAAAGGACATTTTTTAATATTTAGCCGGAGCAAAGTCAGTGATAAAAAGAAAACAGGGCGATAAAGAGAGAACCCTGATCGCTTGCAGTCATGTGTCTGGACTGAGGAGAGAGATAATGTCTTGTGGTTTTACCCACATTTGTAAACACTCAGGTATTTGAAGAATGCTCCTGAGTATGAGCAGTTCAAAAAGCCACCAAGTAGTTAGAAACCAAATCCTAAGCTTGGGAACTGTTGTTTTAAAATGCTGCACAAGCATTATTTTGCGATGACTAATTTGTATTTGTGCCCTAATGCTCCCTGAGTGGCATTGAAGGATGGATCCAAAGCAGAGGGCAAATGTCCCCATTAAACCTGGGACAATTTGCATTTAAATCTAAACCCCATTCTTGATCTACTGTATTTGTGGTTGAGGAAAATTAGGATGCATGAATTGCATTATGCTAAGCCTTGCCTTAAGAACTTTTACTGTGTGTATAATTGCTAAAATACCAGCAACGTGTGTGGCTCCTGAAGTCTATCAAAGCATTATTCTAGCTTAATCATCATGCATGTGTGCATTTTACTGGAAGTAAATTAGAGTGTGCTCAAGAGCCAGATTATGACTAAATTAGAGCCGGCCTCCTGCCTTTTTAGCTGGGTTACAGTTTGACTCATGACTCATCGCAAAGGCACTTGGATCAGCGCTGCCAAAACACACATCCACAAGACTAAAGGCTTAACAATGTCTCTTCCCCTAAAATTTCCCTGCTTTGCTCGACTCTCTAATTGCACGAGGGTACTGTATATTTACACCCCTCCCCTCCCTCTGCTCCCTCTGGTTCAGTCTTCTTCCTGGTGCAATGAGCTATATTTAGCCTGGCCCAGCACAGACGGTCCTTGCCAGCCGGCCGAGCTGTGACAACCAGACGAGGGGAAGAGAGCAGCGGCCCGGCCCGTGTTCAGGATGCTCCTACAGCTCCGAGATGGCAACAAAAACAAGCCACTTCCAGACACACGAGCAGAAGTGTGTCACATTAGACACAGGAAATCAGGCAAGATAACAGTAAGTCAGATGACAACCACTGTGACCTTTCCACAACAGACACGCTGAACTACTTCCGAATTATTTGACAAAAAGAAGAGTTGTTTACTCCCCAGGCCACTTAATCAAATCCTTCTTTTTCACCAGCATCCTCCCTTTGTGGTTTACCCATCCGTCTCACTGCAACTGGGATCTAATCAATGCATTAATGATCATGGATCCCAGAGAGCGCCGCTCCGCTCCCAGACGGTTTCAATCAAGGGTTAGATGAGGCTATCTTCCTCCGCTCTGGTGTTGGCTGTAATTAGGAGAGTCTGGGTCTGGGTATTGTAGCGCTTCTATGGAGAGCTGCCGAAAATTAAAAGCCACGGTGTTCCTTTGCAGTCAATCTGCTGTGTCTGTGGAAAAGGCAGCGATGCAGGGTAGTCACTCAACCGGCCATATTGGGAAATGCATTGTGATGTTTGACTCCCATCTATGAGAAGAACTTCTCATACAATCAATGAATGTTTGGCTATTTAGAGAGATGGAAAACTTTTTATCCAATTGTAATGTGCTTTGTCTCCTGAAATGTGCTATAAATACTTAATCCCATGGAAAATGGCTTTGTGTCCATTGTTGCACAAATAAAATCTCACATTGAAAGTGGCCATCCAAATAATTTAACTTGCAGCACAATAGAAAATAGTAGATTCACATTTTTTCAAGCCGCAGAAATCCAATACAAAAACAAGAACTGAATAGATGTGTTACCCCCCTGCACAGAAACTGTTGAGGCAAATTGCTCTATCATGCTGATTTGATCAGTGGTTCTTAACAAGGGGGGGCGAGGAACAAAGCTGGAGGGGCACAAAATGGATTCTGAGATATGATTCCAAAAGCTCATCGCTGTATTTCACCAATCAGTTGGCATACAATATGCAGTAGAATTAGGCCAGAAACAAAGTAACTGGAGTCCAAGTCAATTTCTGACGGTCTATAAACAAAAACTGCAAATAGGACAATCAAAAACAACCCAAAAGGGTAGACGCATATTTTTGGTCTTGGGAGAATTTGCTCATGTTTGATAAAAACTCATTGACAAATCTTGTTTCAAGGCCGACTAAATGTAACTAAAATTGAGCAAATTTTAAGCTAATTCAAGCTGTTTTTGCACTTTTTTTTCTGTAGTTTTGATAGTTCTTATTTTGAATAACCTAAACTGAAACATTCAAGGACCACTGGTCAGGCCATTGCCAAAGTTTATGGAAAATCCTAAATTATTCACTATAAAGCATCCTCTATCTCTCGCAATTAGCCCGGCGACCATACATCAACACTATTATTATACGTAAAGCCATTTCAATCACAATAATAGTTGGGTATTAAGTGCAATGGGGCAACTTGAGCTGGCATTCAGTAGCTTCTGGACAGCTGAACACACACGACCTGCCAGCTCTAACTGAGACTGCAGCTCCTGTGTCACCTCCTTTTTATTCCTCTGCGCGACGCCAGGAAGTCTGTTGGTTATAAAGATGAAATACTGTCAAATCAATCAATCAATCAATCAATCAACGTTTATTTATAGAGCGCCTTTCCTACACAAGGCAACGCAAAGCGCCTCACAACCCATATAACATCATGCATAAATCATCAAACATTAGAATTTAAGTAAACATAAAAAGACAGATTAAGAGCACAAGATATATAAAATCACACAAGTAGTTAAAAACCGTAAAACATTAAAATCACACAAGGGATTACAATCATAAATAATCATAAATAATCATAGCGCATTAAAAAGATTAAAGATAAAAACAAATATAAAATCATTCACTTGTATGCACAGCTAAAAAGAACTGTTTTCAGTTCAGTTTTAAAAACTGCTAGAGTAGACGCCTGTCTCACACTCTCGGGAAGACGGTTCCAGACTCTAGCTGCATGAATCTGAAACGCAGCCTCCCCATGTCTAGTTCCGACTCTTGGCACTAACAGAAGTCCGTCCCTGTGCTCCTCAGAGCCCGAGTTGGTTCATATGGCACCAACATGTCGCGGATGTACCCTGGTGCGAGGCCATGGAGAGACTTGTACACAAGTAAAGCTACTTTAAAATCTATTCTCTGAGCCACAGGAAGCCAGTGCAGAGACCTGAGGACCGGACTAATGTGGTCGTACTTCCTGGTTCTAGTCAGGACTCGAGCTGCAGCATTTTGGATGTACTGCAGCTGTTTTACCGCTTGTTTAGAGAGACCTGTGAACAAGCCATTGCAGTAGTCCAATCGACTGGAGACAAATGCGTGGATAAGAATCTCCAAGTCTGCTTTAGACACAATGTTCCTAATTTTAGCAATGTTTCTTAGGTGGAAGTTAGCTGATGATGTCACAGATGATATGTGGCTATTGAAATTTAAGTCTGAGTCCATTATTACTCCTAGATTTCTGACCTGAGTTGAGGGTTTTAGGGAGAGAGACTGGAGGTGGCAGATAACGCTCTCTCTTTGTTTTTGAGGTCCGAAAACAATAATTTCAGTTTTTTCTGTGTTTAGCTGGAGAAAGTTATTTTGCATCCAATCACTGATTTGTTGGATACAGTGAAGGAGCGAGTCCATTGGTCCATGTTCTCCTGCTGTCAGGGACACATAGACCTGAGTATCGTCAGCATAATTGTGATAGGACACGTTATTACTGTGTATTAACCTACCCAGAGGCAGCATGTAAATATTAAACAGGAGAGGCCCCAGGATTGATCCCTGTGGCACTCCGCAGGTTAGGGCCAGATGGTCTGAGATACAGTTTCCGATCTCCACAAAATACTTTCTGTCCTGTAGGTAGGATATAAACCAGCTTAGGGCTGTTCCAGAAACACCAACCCAGTCCTCAAGTCTCTGAATGAGGATACCATGATCGACAGTGTCGAAAGCAGCACTTAAATCTAACAGGATAAGAACTGAGACTTTTCCTGCGTCAGTGTTAAGTCTGATGTCATTTGTTACCTTCACTAGAGCGGTCTCTGTGCTGTGGTGGGGTCTAAAACCAGACTGGAACATATCAAAAGAGTGATTGATTATTAAAAATTCTGTAAGTTGTTGATAGACAACTTTTTCTAGAATTTTACCCATGAAAGGCAGATTTGAAATGGGCCGATAATTTTTAAGTGCCAAGGCATCCAGACTCCTCTTTTTTAGGAGGGGTCTGATGACTGCCGTTTTCAGGGCCATTGGGAATGTTCCAGATTCAAGAGACATATTTACTATATGCGTGAGTGAAGGTAAAAGACTGCTCAGAACAGATTTAAGAAATCTAGGAGGTAATACATCCAGGCTACATGTAGAAGAACTCAGACTTGTAATTATCATTTGGACAGTTTCATTTTGTACTGGTGTAAAGTGTGTCAGCCCAAAAAGCTTCACTGGCTGTTGGATTGTAATTTCTACTGTGGAGGTGATGGCATTTTTGATGCCTTGGACTTTGTCATTAAAAAACTCTGCAAACTCATTACATTTGGTTTTGGAGGTAAGCTCTGATGGCATCTTAACAGGGGGATTTGTCAATTTATTTACTGTTGAGAACAGAACGCGTAGATTGTTACTGCAACCTTCGATTGTTTCGGAAAAATAAGTTTCCCTCGTTCTACGTAGCACACTGTTGAACTTGCACAATGCAATACAAAATGACCACATCGTATGCGTGTAATTTCACCGGATTATGCTCGAGAGTGGCCTGTTTGGCTCACGGAGGGATGACAAACTGGGTGATGTCTCTGAACGTGTGCGGGAATTTCAAAC